TGTGTGTGTGTGTATATATATATATATATATATATATATATATATAATTTTTTAACATAAAAAATTGTCTTACGTTACAGTAATGGACAAAATTTGGATTGGAAATGTTCTTTATTGTCAAAAAAATAACGCCAAAATGCAAAATAATTTAAATTTTTTTAATGCAAATATTATTTCTGTTGAATTTGTGGTGAAATAAAACTTGGATTTATTTATTGGTCATCTTTCACGAGTAAAAAACTATTTTTATTCTGTAAAAGGAAGGCCACAGAAATATTTTGCAGCTTTTTTTACTAATTATTTACAACCTTTGTGTGATGATAGGACAATATATCAACCAGGCCCGACTAAAGTGTTCTTGTATCTCATTTGCCACCAAATATATATATTATGTATTTAATAATATTAAATATATTATGTATATAACTTGTGGAAAACCCACATCACTCAACATTTCAGTCAACTACAGTGTAGTTTGTATTTAATCTGAGCGATCACCGGTGAGATGTGTTTCCAGAGTTTCAGTGTTGTTTTTGGGCTGTTTTAACAGCGTTCCTCAGGTCTCAAGACCGACTCAACAAACCTGCTATTAACTGACTCCAGATTGCTCTGATAGGAGTAGTTCACGCTTTCATTGTTTTTCCACAGAATGATGTGTGTCAGTAAAACAGATTGTTCAGGAGAAACTATTGAGAATCATTGTGCTCCTGACCAGCTGTGCTGTGAAACATGCCGCATCTTGCAGTGAGAAGTATTTTATCCAGATATGTGACTTACTGATGGATTTGAATGAGGATCTGAGAGGCCGTTGTTGGGTGGAGGATTTTAACGATCGTGTATTTAGGGGCTATAAATAGCGCAAGGGCACTCAGGACAGTTTACATGCATATCTTACTGGCTTTAAAAGTTTTTAGTGGTGTTTGCTAAGACAAAGTTTACTATTATTCGTTCTGAGTGACTGTGATTTGATCAAACCTCTGTGTGAGTTGCCCTGTTATAAATAAATAAATTATATATATATATATATATATATATATATACACACACATACACTACCAAGTTTGTGGTCAGTTTAAGAAATTAATTCAATTCAAATTCAATCAAATGTGACTATCACAAAATAAAATTCAACATTAGAATAAGTAATGCATTGTTTTAACTTCATGTGACACTGAAGACTGGAGCAATGATGCTGAAAATTCAGCTGCGCATCACAGAAATAAATTACATTTGAAAGGAAATTAAACTAGAAACCATTATTTTATATTATAATAACGTTTTGCAAGATTAGTTTTTTTCTGTATTTCTGATTAAATAAATGCACCCTTGATGAGCAGAAGAGACTTCTTTATAAAACATTACGAGTCTTACTGATCCCACACTTTTGAGCGGTAGTGTATATATTCTGCGCTATGTGAAATTGATCAAATATAATTGAAACCGGCCTCAACAGCACTGAGTCTGAAATCACTTTACTAAACCATCATCTTCATCATCTTCATCATCCTCATCATTTATATAGTTAATCAGTGTCCATTAATGGATTGAGTGATGTGTTACACTCTGTGACATCACTCGACTAAATTTGTTATATAATATACAGTGGGTACGGAAAGTATTCAGACCCCCTTAAATTTTTCACTCTTTGTTATATTGCAGCCGCAAATGGCTGCAATATAACAGAGTGAAAAATTGAAGGGGGTCTGAATACTTTCCGTACCCACTGTATATGGTTCATATAAATATTAAATAAAAAGAATTATACATTTTATAAAAAAATATAATATAAATATACATTTTATTAATATAACAAACTTTTATTTGAACGTTTTTTTGCTATTTTATTTTATTAATATAATATATTAAATAAAAGAGAAAAATGTTTCTTTGTTTATAAATAAATTCTAATCTATAATCATATTAATATGACAAACCTTTTAATATTTATATAATATAATAAATAATTATAATATTAATCATCAATCAATATATAGTATAAATAAACATAATATTAATATAATAGTTTGTTTGTTTGTTTAAAAAAAAAAATAATTAATTCATAATTTATTTACTTTTGATATCTTCTGAACATTGTGCGCCATTGTTGAGAAATTTCCCACCGAGTTTAATCTCAGTGGTTTCTGCTGTTTTGCAGACGTGTTTCAGTTGTGTTTTCTTGGTGTTGCTAGTGCAGACAGTCAGATAAACTGCACTATCAGTGAAGAAACCCTGCAGCCCCTCATTGCATATGCATGAGGGGGCGGGGCACACAGGCTGAGGGCGGAGCCACTCATACAGGGCTCTAGTTGGGTCTCCTGCAGCTGTTTAAAGCAGAACTGCATTAGTGCTCTTAGTGTTCAACAAGTGTTGCATGTGAGCGTCAGTAAGTATTTCACTTCACTTTTTTATTGGAATTATTCACAGTGATTGTGAAACTCTTATGTCTCGTTTTACTGGTTACTTTGGATTGAAACTTACGACATGCTGTGAAAGTTTGGTTTATATTCTTGCATGATATATGGTATCTATTCATCATTCTATTTTTTAAGGTAATTATAATTATGATTCTTGTACTCGCAGTACATTGCAGAGGTTCAGTTAACGGTGACTTTCCAAGGATGAAATATCAGTCAGATTTCATTCCAAAATCAAAGGAAAGAAAAGTAGTTTCCATTCAAAAACGAAGCCTGTTTTAAGACTATTTATTCATTTGTGTTTATTTTCATGTTCAGTTTAGATTGAAACTAATGAAATAACTGGCAATTAAAGTTTTGTTTAAATTCATGTATGATATATGTGTTCATTATCCTATACTTTTTATTCTATGTCATATAGTTATGATGCCTATATTTACAGCACATAACAAAGATCCAGTTAACTGTTGAAATATCAACGTCAGATTTAATCTCTAAATCAAAAGTGAGAAAATACAAAATTGTAAATTCCATAAAGAAATTGAAGTCTGTTTTAATAAGATTTATTATTATTTTTAGTTAGATTTAAACGTATAAATAACTGGATGAAATATCAGTCAGATTTCATTCCAAAATCAAAGGAAAGAAAAGTAGTTTCCATTCAAAAACGAAGCCTGTTTTAAGACTATTTATTCATTTGTGCTTATTTTCATGTTCAGTTTAGATTGAAACTAATGAAATAACTGGCAATTAAAGTTTTGTTTAAATTCATGTATGATATATATGTGTTCATTATCCTATACTTTTTATTCTATGTCATATAGTTATGATGCCTATATTTACAGCACATAACAAAGATCCAGTTAACTGTTGAAATATCAACGTCAGATTTAATCTCTAAATCAAAAGTGAGAAAATACAAAATTGTAAATTCCATAAAGAAATTGAAGTCTGTTTTAATAAGATTTATTATTATTTTTAGTTAGATTTAAACGTATAAATAACTTTGTTTATATTCTTGCATTATATATGGTATTTATTCATTATTTATACTTTTTATTTCTTGTAATTATGAGGAAAAAATAGCTTGTTTTTAATACTCTATAACACATTTTATAGTACTTTTTATTACTATTTAAGTATTTATTTATTTTTATATGTAGTTTATATTCTTGCATTATATATGGTATTTATTCATTATTTATACTTTTTATTTCTTGTAATTATGAGGAAAAAATAGCTTGTTTTTAATACTCTATAACACATTTTATAGTACTTTTTATTACTATTTAAGTATTTATTTATTTTTATATGTAGTTTATATTCTTGCATTATATATGGTATTTATTCATTATTTATACTTTTTTTTTGTAATTATGAGGAAAAAATAGCTTGTTTTTAATACTCTATAACACATTTTATAGTACTTTTTATTACTATTTAAGTATTTATTTATTTTTATATGTAGTTTATATTCTTGCATTATATATGGTATTTATTCATTATTTATACTTTTTATTTTTTGTAATTATAAGAAAAAATAGCTTGTTTTTAATACTATATATTACTTACAAGACTTTTTTATATAACGTTTAATACTAATTAATTAATTAGTTAGTTAATTTTCACGTGGAGTTTAGATTTAAACTTAGAAATAACTTTGTTTATATTCTTGCATTATATATGGTATTTATTCATTATTCTATATATTTTTTTGTAATTATAAAATGATGCTTGTTTTTAATACTCTATAACACATTTTATAGTACTTTCTATTACTATTTAAGTATTTATTTATTTTCATATGTAGTTTATATTCTTGCATTATATATGGTATTTATACTTTTTAATACTATTTATTTATTTACTTATTTATTTTCACGTGTAAATAAGATTAGATTTAAACTTAGAAATAACTTTGTTTATATTCTTGCATTTTATATATATATATATATATATGGAATTGATTGATTATTCTAGATTTATTGTAGTTTTTGTAATTTTTCACTAAACCCTGTTTTGTTTTATTTGATTATTTATTTATTTATTTCCCCCCATCATGTCTGTGTTCCTTCCAGGTGCTTGCGCAGTAAAATCCCGTCTCATTACAGTGAATCTCACAGACATGGACCCTCAGGTGCCCAAAGACAAGTGAGTCGAACATCAAAGCATGAACATCAGTTAATATCTTGCTCTTCTGCCGCCGCTCTGAATCAGACAGACAGATAACAAGAGCAAAGTGGCTTTCTGGTGCTGTAAAGTTTGCTCAAGAGTCACACCAGATGTGCGGAGTCAGTTCTCCCTCCTAAAAACAAAGGGTGATATATCACACTTTTACTAGGTATTCTGTAGTGTGTGTGTTTTTTTTAGAAAACTATCTTTGTTCTGGTGCTTCTTAGAACCCAGAAACCTGATGTGAAGATGTGAATTGGTTGAACAGCAGTAAAGCATCCTCTTCTCGTGACAGATATAATGGCGTGTGGTTGATTTTCTTCATGCTGGGGTTGGGAACGCTGCTGCCGTGGAATTTCTTCATGACAGCTACTATGGTAAGCACTTTACGTCTTGCGTCACATATTTCGTGTGAAGTTGTACATCTCGGGTTGGTTTTTGCCGTAGATGACCAGAAATGCTGACAAAGTGTTGCAAAAGCAACAATTACATCCACAAAAAAACAGAAGATGTGTATCTCCCAAGGCTTTTTTTCTCTGTTTATCTTGTAGTATTTCAGCAGTCGTCTTGCAGACACTTTAAGTGAAGCGAATCTCTCAGCCAACGCGACTGAAGAAGACTCGCGGAGCGTCTTACAGGCCAAGTTTAATAATGTGATGACGCTGTGTGCGATGGTTCCTCTGCTGGTCTTCACCTGCCTCAACTCAGTGCTTCACCAG